CAACCGCTGGTTTGTGTGACCAAGACTCTATTGTTACAAGCCGCCCTTATATATCTGTAACGTGACCGACAACAAACATACGCAGATGCTGGTTTGGGACTAAAATCATATTCTTTGACGCAACTTGTTCAACATTCCCCGGCTAAATGAGGCAATAATAAGTGTCACCGTGGATGTGACAGGGGAAATTAGTTGGAAAGTTGCAGAGAGAGAAAGGTCACTGTATCTCTCCATTTAGTAACATCATCACCGTATATGTGGCAGGGGAAATTAGGACAAAGGTCATAGAGATAGATGTTTTCACATTTGTTACACTGTTTCAAATTACACAGAGCAGAGATTGAATAGTTAGGACACGTTTGTTAGAGTGAAGTCTGAAGTAATATGTGGGCAATGTGTAGATGGTGTATAGGTAGTATGTGGAAACTTAGGTAGACAGTGTGAAGACCGCGTACATGCAATGTAACAGCGTGAAGACAATGTTGACATTGTGTGTGTGTGTGTGTGTGTGTGTGTGTGTGTGTGTGTGTGTGTGTGTGTGTGTGTGTGTGTGTGTGTGTGTGTGTGTGTGTGTGTGTGTGTGTGTAATAGGCAATATGTGTAGGCAATATGTAGACAGTGTGTGGGCAGTGTGTACCCTGGTTGTGGGCAGCGTTGCGCAATGTATGGACAGTGTGTACACAGTGTGTAGGCGTGTTTGGGCAGTGTGAGCAATGTGTAGACGATATATAGACAGTATGTATAGGCAGTGTGTGGGATGGGTGTAGGCAGTGTGTAGGCGTGTTTTGGCAGTGTGAGCAATGTGTAGACGATATATAGACAGTATGTATAGGCGGTGTGTGGGAGGGGTGTAGACAGTGTGTAGGCGTGTTTGGGCAGTGTGAGCAATGTGTAGACGATATTTAGACAGTATGTATAGGCGGTGTGTGGGAGGGGTGTAGGCAGTGTGTAGGCGTGTTTGGGCAGTGTGAGCAATGTGTAGACGATATATAGACAGTATGTATAGGCGGTGTGTGGGAGGGATGTAGACAGTGTGTAGGCGTGTTTGGGCAGTGTGAGCAATGTGTAGACGATATATAGACAGTATGTATAGGCGGTGTGTGGGAGGGGTGTAGGCAGTGTGTAGGCGTGTTTGGGCAGTGTGAGCAATGTGTAGACGATATATAGACAGTATGTATAGGCAGTGTGTGGGAGGGGTGTAGGCAGTGTGTAGGCGTGTTTGGGCAGTGTATGAGCAATGTGTAGACGATATATAGACAGTATGTATAGGCGGTGTGTGGGAGGGGTGTAGACAGTGTGTAGGCGTGTTTGGGCAGTGTGAGCAATGTGTAGACGATATATAGACAGTATGTAAAGGCGGTGTGTGGGAGGGGTTTAGGCAGTGTGTAGGCAGTGTGTGAACATTGTGAAGACAGTGTGTGGTGAATGTGTAGGTTATGTTTAGGCAGTTGTGAGCAGTGTGTAGGCAATGTGTGGTGAAAGTGTAGGCAGTTTGAGGTGAATGTGTAGGCAGTGTGTGAACAGTGTATAGGCAGTGTGTGGGCAGTGGGATGGCGGTGTGTGAACAGTGGGATGGTGGTGTGTAGGCAGTGTGTAGGCAGTGGGATGGTGGTGTGTAGGCAGTGTGTGAACAGTGTATAGACAGTGTGTGGGCAGTGGGATGGCGGTGTGTGAACAGTGGGATGGTGGTGTGTAGGCAGTGTGTGAACAGTGTATAGGCAGTGTGGAGGCAGTGGGATGGTGGTGTGTAGGCAGTGTGTGAACAGTGTATAGGCAGTGTGGAGGCAGTGGGATGGTGGTGTGTAGGCAATGTGGAGGCAGTGGGATGGCGGTGTGTGAACAGTAGGATGGTGGTGTGTAGGCAGTGTGTGAACAGTGTATAGGCAGTGGGATGGTGGTGTGTGAACAGTGGGATGGTGGTGTGTAGGCAGTGTGTGAACAGTGTATAGGCAGTGGGATGGCGGTGTGTGAACAGTGGGATGGTGGTGTGTAGGCAGTGTGTGAACAGTGTATAGGCAGTGGGATGGCGGTGTGTGAACAGTGGGATGGTGGTGTGTAGGCAGTGTGTGAACAGTGTATAGGCAGTGTGGAGGCAGTGGGATGGTGGTGTGTAGGCAGTGTGGAGGCAGTGGGATGGCTGTGTGTGAACAGTGGGATGGTGGTGTGTAGGCAGTGTATGAGCAGTGTATAGGCAGTGTGTAGGAAGGGTGTGGTCAGTGGGATGGCAGTGTGTAGGCAGAGTGTGGGCAGTATGTGAACATGTGTGGGCAGTGTATAGGCAGTGTGGAGGCAGTGTGTAGGAAGGGTGTGGTCAGTGTGATGGTAGTGTGTAGGCAGTGTATAGGCAGTGTATAGGCAGTGTGTAGGAAGGGTGTGGTCAGTGGGATGGCGGTGTGTAGGCAGAGTGAGGGCAGTATGTGGACATGTGTAGGCAGTGTATGAGCAGTGTATAGACAGTGTGTAGGAAGGGTGTGGTCAGTGGGATGGTAGTGTGTAGGCAGAGTGTGGGCAGTATGTGGACATGTGTGGGCAGTGTATAGACAGTGGGATTGCGGTGTGTGAACAGTGGGATGGTGGTGTGTAGGCAATGTATAGGCAGTGTATAGGCAGTGTGTAGGAAGGGTGTGGTCAGTGGGATGGTAGTGTGTAGGCAGAGTGTGGGCGGTATGTGGACATGTGTGGGCAGTGTATAGGCAGTGTATAGGCAGTGTGTAGGAAGGGTGTGGTCAGTGTGATGGTAGTGTGTAGGCAGAGTGTGGGCAGTATGTTGACATGTGTGGGCAGTGTATAGGCAGTAAGTAAGTGAGTGCGTGTGGTTTTTCGACGCTTTTAGCAATATTCCAGAAACAATATTGAGAAAAAAAATGGAAAACTTAAGAAATTAAGATGGAGTTAAACATGAGACGAAGAAAGACAGGTGGCTTTGAAAATAAAGATCCTGAAAAGGTTATCATAAAATGCACGTGTGCAGTGAAGAATGCAATTTACTTCATTATTGGCACGCATTTAATTCAATATAATTTTTCCACATGCAGACTTTTCCCACGTGCATTTCGCTTTCACGGAACTTATTACGCTTATCGTCATGTACTTTACAGTGTTGTCTCACAGATTTCTTTTCACTATATCGAATGACAATTGGCGTCTATATGTACCACAATATAGTTCCATAATATATTCTAATTATATGTTATTCTTTTTCACATACATTCGAAAATTGTGTTGTCTAAAATTGTGTTGCCGAATGTTGCCGCCAGTCAACGACATGTCTAGTTCTATAATAGACCCAATCCACTTCAAACCCGCCGCAATACAGAACTGTTTACCTTCGATATCATTCAGCTAATCTACCAAATCCTGTCGCATAATGTTGCTTGGTAACCAAGAGAAAATGAAAGAAAAGACATGTGCTATGATATTTAACTAAACTGTGTCAAGGAGTCTTTCACAACTTCATTTTCTACCCTTTGCCTACGTTTTTTGTGAAATCCTTCCCCTAATTTTTCCATCTCGATAAAGCTGGCTTATTAGGCCCGCAGGTTGTTGTGTGAGACACGAAGAACATTATGGGGGTGACAGTTGCGCCATAGAAGATGTCTGCTGAATGCCCCGAGCTCATTTTGTCTCCACAGGACGGTAGGCCTGGAGGGAACGTCAAGATATAGACAGCTTTACTGTCAAACCAAAGCAAGAAGGTTGGGTAATTATGCATTTACCTGCCGGATGAATATACAGCAGACTCTCGATAATATGGACCCTTTGTAGTCCAACAGTCTTTTTGCATCTGAAGAGTTCTGGTGTATTGCTTTCTAAAGTGTGCATCCTACAAAGGTATTAGTAACATAACTGACATTGCCCTTATAATAGTGTGTTGATTGTCAAAGTGTCGAGGTTTGATAAATAGATTATCACGTGCTGCAGTAAACTTCAATATGACATTTTGTTATTATCAGTGCACATGTGTGCTATATTACATCATGTATTAATACATCTTTTCTCTGTCAGATATGGTTAAGTATTTTTACAAAACGATATGTCATATTCGATTCGGAAACAAATACAATAATCTCTTCTCGAACTTTTCTGATATGTTGGGGTTGGAAGTGGGACTTTTCCGTGTAAAAAAATATTGTGTTGTGGCATTATTGTGACAAAGCGACAAATGTACTTTTATATATATGTACAGTAAAGTAGATATGATTTCATATTCTACTTTTCACTCTTACAGATGTTTGTTTCTTCTATGAATTCTGTTAAGATAATTTATATTGTCTTCAATTCTCAATTCTCATGTACGTTAGGGGTGGCGGGATAGCCCAGTGGTTAAAGCGTCCGAAGCCCCGGGTTCGATTCCCACATGGGTTCAATGTGTTAAAATGGTTCCGGCGTCCCGTTGTGATATTGCTGGAATATTGCTGGGAGCGACGTAAAACAATACTCACTCACTGACTCTATGTACATTTCTTTCACAGCTGTTCACAGCCATCTTGCCCTTAACGCCAAATGGAATCTGTTTCGTCGGATAATAAAGTCAAGTTGTTCTCTTGGATTGACGTTTTATATTTATAAATTGAAATGAGTCAATGTAAGCCTTCTCAATCAGGATACTCTCGAGAATACACTTCTGTTCTGTTCTGGCATAATCAAAAGGTAATAAATTCCAAGAAACAATGACGCCTTTTTTAAAATAGAGAAACGGGAACATAAAAATGTGCCCCTCTTTGAAAGCCTAACATGAAATTTCTCATGAAGCAGACGGATACAAAAAGTTCAACGTCATGCACTGTCCAGTCCATTCAGGGGGAGAAACAGATACAATGTCTCCTGTGAAGGAACGGTACAGAATCTCATGGTGACAATACCCTCTAAGTGCCAATTTTCCTCATGGGCTATTTCCTCATCCCTGCATTAACTCATTTTCCGTCGTGCCAATTTGGTCGAGCTGTGAAGAGCACGTTGGCGGGCCCATGGAATTGCATTTGGTCTGCCTTAGCGCCAAAGTAGACCTGTTCTTAAATACCGGTGGGATTTTAAAAGAGCAAGTCAAGTACACGTTCTACTTTTTAGCCATCTACAGACACAAAAGGTAAGTCGATATCTAGATATTGCCAATGCAGCCTATTTTAGTTTTCTTCGGAATGACTTTAAAGATTTTCTGTGTTTGCAAATGGAATTGGTTTAACTGTCTTCATTATGGAAAACTAAAAGACAATTCATGAAGAAATATGTACTACTTGACACTAATCTTTGCAAAGAGAATGTCAGCATAGTATATGATGGCATAACCACATGAATAGGTTATATACTAACTTGATTTTAAAACATTTACGGTTCTTATTCAAGCTTGTCTCCGAACCTTCCTCGTTATACAGTGGAATACGTGTGTATTCTTTGGTAATTTCGTTCATGTATATATGTGTTGTAAGTACACTTAAGTCAAAGATTTCATCATTTGTCAGATTAATTATTAAGATCAACGATCATTTTAGTGATTTTATGGATATAAAAATACCCTGGTATTATTGTAATTCACATTCGAAGCGTATCTTCAAACAAGAAGAATTGAATACAGATGTTTACATTAACTGAACATTAATTGCAATGTATGGAATGTGGTACACCGTATTGTAACAAAATGCCATGCACGTATCTTCAACACTGGTTTTCTTTCATGAGTGATGCTTCTGATGCTAACACACATATCAATATTCCCAATAACATTAAAAAAGATTGACTGTTTTGCTGACCAGTTTTATGGTCTGCGTTATGAAAGTTTACATTCCTTTCTATTCAGAAATGGCCTTTGAACGGATTAGAAGCATTCGAAGGAACTGTGAGCACTCCACGAAGTTAGCCTTGTTCATCGTGTTTTACACCAACATGTTGGACAGTCTGTTGTTGACGGCGGTAGGTAAGTACAGGTGTACACACCAAGGAACCTTCTAAGCAGATGAACTGACGGACAAAAGAATGTATACACTTGAAAGCCACCACAAAAAATGGGTGTACACTTTCTTCTCCCCGGCAGTTTATTAATGTAGCATCGTATTGGTGAGACTTATCATTTTCGGAGGTGGTCTTTATTACGAATGTAAATTACCAGTGCAAGGGAATAATCTGTCCAGATTATCCGCTGAAACAGATTCCATCTAGCGTCAAGGGCAAAATTACTGTGAAAATTATATGAATGGACCAGTGAAAATCAGTGATGACACCAGGTGTTCGCGAAAAGAGTGAGCATGTCCCGTCATACCTGTAGCATCTGCCATTCACATTTTCTTGCATTTAAAAGTAAGGATGTATTGCCCGACTCCACACAGCGGTATTGCTGCCATGCGGCGGCGGCCTGTAAACTAAACAGACAATCAAGTGATCGATGAACTAAAAAACATTATTTACCCCTTTCGGGAACACCTGGTGTCATCACTGATTTTCAGTGATCCATTCATACAATTGTCTTCACTAGTTTGTTTTTTGCTTCTAATGGAAATTGTTTCGGCGGATAATAGAGACTGATTAATTTCTGGCGTTGACGCTTTAAATTTACTGCACGAAGATTGTTGTTACGCGAAGTGATGGTCTGAGAGGAAGTTTATATATATTTTTTTTAAAAGGTGAGTTTTCGAATCCTTGCTGAGGGAATAAGATAATTTCTTTACCTTATTAGTTCATTACGTACTGAAATTCAAGACGAAAGTAAGATGTTTATTTATTTCATTTTAATCAGGAAAGTATATTGAAGTTTCCAGATAATTAATATATTCGCCCTTTTGTGTCATCTATGCAAATATTACAAGTTAGATATTATCTAAGTTTTATTATTAACTGAATATTAAACGTCAACGAAAATAACTACGACGTATCAGACGAAACAGTTTTCATTAGGCATATAATGCAACCTGGAGGTAAAAATAGCATAACTTATGAAAAGGGTAGTTATGCTTTTTACACACTTTATTACGTTAAACAGATAAAACATAGTTCATGAAAGAAAGAGTTTCCTGCGTCTCTGTATACTTTACAGAATTTAATTCTTCCGAAGGGTATTTATATACACTAGTCGGTAATGACCTATGGTTGTAATCATGTAATTATATGTTAAGGTGAGTTTAGACTGTGAAAGATATACCTTAGCGTTGTCATTTTGTTATGTGCAACGTTGTCTGAGTACCTACACACAAGGAAATAGTCAAGCTATTCATGAAACTATTGGTTCAAAGGGAGGCATCTCATACACGTTGGTACAGAATCATTACTTCACAAAATTTACTACTTACTAATTAGTTGGTAACTTAATTCTAACACCATAATGACATCTCTTTATAGACATCTCAACATTATAGTATTGTCAGAATATTGCAATCAACGCCTGTTCATTATTTATCTCATAATGTTGATTTCCTTATTACACAAATAATTGTTACATTATAGTCAGAATCGTACAATGACGTCTGTTTTCAGTCGATAACACGTATGATTATGGAAATGTTTTTTCGCTTTTATTTTCTCAGGTTACATTTTTTTCCAATATAATTGTTTATCAGAATTATTATGTGTTTCCCATGCATCATTGTACATGTATAATTAATCATTAGTAATGGATCTGTTTCTTCTGCCTTTATACAATTATATCAATTTTCCATACCCCACGAGGGTTCCTTTAATAATTAAATTGAGGGCGGCACATTTCACAACGGGAACGGAACCATATCTTGAGGGTATGAAAGTAATTACCACCCATGCAGGGTGGTGTATATATATGGAACAAACGACGGCGGGTTTCACTTCGTGTTGCAATAAAAATCAAACAATAAAAAGCATGTTACTGAGAATAGTTGCATCTGCCCAACAGCCTTCGACATGTGACATTTGAAGGTAGTCTGACATATTGGTTTGTAAACTAAAGGGATATCACATACATGGTGTGATATTAGAAATTTGGAAAAGAAATTGAGGCACAGAGTGGTCATTCACTGAGCGATCATTGAACAGTTCTGTAAATAAACAGTAAACTACGTTTATAACGAACACGCTTCAACGAACTGACGGATATAACGAACTTATTTTTTAGTCCCGGCCATTTGATGTATATATGCTGTATATATGCTTATAACGAACTACGGTTATTAGGAACTAAAATTAGTGGTCCCTTTGAGTTCGTTATAACCGTAGTTTACTGTAATGCAAATGCACATATGTTTAGGGAAATCCTAGTTCTTGCTTTAATTGCTATTGCACTCCCATCACCGTATATGCTGAAGAACCACGGGTGATCTGATACATCAAATGAGAAGTGGTGTAGCTGTGGAATTAACGGAAGTCAGATAACAACGTCATTAACCAGAATACTGCAGGGTGTTTTGAAATGAGAATGTAGAGGGAGAATTCTTTCAATGTGCAGTATGATATTGCGTGTATATATGGGCAGGGTCCCGGTTCACAAAGCAATCCTAAGCTAAGCGCTGAGGCGATCGTAATTCCCTTAGTTTACCAAAGATTTAAGACAATCGTAGCGCTTATATCGCTTTGTGGAACGGGGCCTAGGTCTCATGTCTGTGATAGGTCTAATTTGTTGAAGTAATTTTCAATCCCGATGACACGACGCCATGTGTGATGGCGTCGTACACACATGACGTCATTCCCCCGTTGACACAGCTTTCCTAGGCTGTAACTGTGGCTCTTCATTAGGCTTTATATTAGTTCCACAACCCAATCAAGAACATTAACTACACTGCCGTGATAAAAGTTCGTCTACTTTTGCCTTTCTACCACGTGCTAGTACTATGATCTTGTGTTGCATTTATGAAGAACGACAGTAGCAGCCCAGAGTGGCTAACACTGGTAACACAGATGCTAGATTACACTATCCAAGATGAGCCAGACTGCAACTGTATGTCATAAAAGGCCAAGAAGGCCGTAAAGTGCGTATATTACGCTATAACTATGATGTGACTTGAATTGGGATATCTCATAGAAATATGTGCCATATGACACAGAACATATGTCACACATTTTTGAATGAATTATACCATTGATCTGAATATTCCTGTTTCAATTCCTATCAGTCTACAGGATCGTGACTGGACTTATATTCCTGTTTCAGTTCCTATCCTCCCATCAGTCTACAGGATCGTGACTGGACTTATATTCCTGTTTCAGTTCCTATCCTCCCATCAGTCTACAGGATCGTGACTGGACTTATATTCCTGTTTCAGTTGCTACCCTCCCATCAGTCTACAGGATCGTGACTGGACTTATATTCCTGTTTTAGTTGCTACCCTCCCATTAGTCTACAGGGTCGTGACTGGACTTCTATTCCTGTTTCAGTTGCTATCCTCCTATCAGTCTACAGGATCGTGACTGGACTTATATTCCTGTTTCAGTTGCTACCCTCCCATTAGTCTACAGGGTCGTGACTGGACTTATATTCCTGTTTCAGTTCCCATCCTCCCATCAGTGTACAGGATCGTGACTGGACTTATATTCCTGTTTCAGTTCCTATCCTCCCATCAGTCTACAGGATCGTGACTGGACTTATATTCCTGTTTCAGTTGCTACCCTCCCATTAGTCTACAGGATCGTGACTGGACTTATATTCCTGTTTCAGTTGCTATCCTCCTATCAGTCTACAGGATCGTGACTGGACTTCTATTCCTGTTTCAGTTGCTATCCTCCTATCAGTCTACAGGATCGTGACTGGATTTATATTCCTGTTTCAGTTGCTATCCTCCCATTAGTCTACAAGATCGTGACTGGACTTATATTCCTGTTTCAGTTGCTATCCTCCTATCAGTCTACAGGATCGTGACTGGACTTATATTCCTGTTTCAGTTCCTATACTGCCATCAGTCTACAGGGTCGTGACTGGACTTACATTCCTGTTTCAGTTCCTATACTGCCATCAGTCTACAGGATCGTGACTGGACTTATATTCCTGTTTCAGTTGCTATCCTCCTATCAGTCTACAGGATCGTGACTGGACTTATATTCCTGTTTCAGTTCCTATACTGCCATCAGTCTACAGGATCGTGACTGGACTTACATTCCTGTTTCAGTTCCTATACTGCCATCAGTCTACAAGATCGTGACTGGACTTCTATTCCTGTTTCAGTTCCTATGCTCCCATCAGTCTACAGGATCGTGACTGGACTTATATTTATTCCTGTTTCAGTTCATATACTGTCATCGGTCTACAGGATCGTGACTGGACTTATATTCCCGTTTCAGTTCATATGCCCCCATCAGTCTACAGGATCGTAACTGGACTTTTATTCTTGTTTCAGTTCCTATCCCCCTATTAGTCTACAGGATCGTGACTGGTTTCATATTCCTGTAAATAGAGAACACTCGTTGATATATTTGATATCAAAAGACACTCGGGTGAGATTTTATTTATCATCCAACATCATTCTTCCTACTTTTTTTCAGTTTGTTGACAGTAATAAGCAGTGTCTTAAGTGTAAAAAGAACTAACAGCTTCAGTAGCAGAGTCATTAGTGATGTCATTTGATTGTTACGTCATGTCACCAATGACGTCACAATGGTCTGCAAAGCATTATGATGCAATTTCATTGCAGCGATATCTCACAAAAGCGATATCTCCTGTGGGAGCCAGTTTTGGATGATAAAAGTTCGAATCATCATATTGGTCTACAGGGCCGTAACTGGTTTCATATTCCTGTTTCAGTTCCGATCATCATGTTGGTCTACAGGGCCGTAACTGGTTTCATATTCCTGTTTCAGTTCCTATCATCATGTTGGTCTACAGGGCCGTAACTGGTTTCATATTCCTGTTTCAGTTCCTATCATCATGTTGGTCTACAGGATCGTAACTGGTTTCATATTCCTGTTTCAGTTCCTATCATCATGTTGGTCTACAGGGCCGTAACTGGTTTCATATTCCTGTTTCAGTTCCGATCATCATGTTGGTCTACAGGGCCGTAACTGGTTTCATATTCCTGTTTCAGTTCCTATCATTCCGGACATCCTGCTGGATCTGGATGAAGCCAACTTTCACTCCAGGAACAGAACTTTGTACAGAAATGAATCAGGGCTAAGCTTGAATCAAACGCAGAGCCAGTCGTTGACACAAAAGGCCTTTTCCCTGTCAGTTAGTGCTCTGAATGAGAATACTAAAGTGGGATGGCTGCTCTCATCCAAGGCTATTATACAACTCATAGCGGGACCCCTCATTGGGCCACTCTGTAACAGGTATGGATGTTAACGTATATATACATACTTCATACAATGAAACCCCGTCAATCAAGACATCGTTATTCCGGAAATATCGCCTTCCGTGTAGTCCTACATATATGTTCTGTTTATGTGGCTCTGCTATTCTGGAATTCGTTTTCCCGATTAACAGGTAGGTCAGATGAACATATATTGTATATATAAAATGACATCTCTCAATTTTGGACACTGTTATTCCAGAAACCTTGCATTTATGTGAACGCCCACAGATTTGTTCCGTCCGGGTGAACAATATTTGTAAAAAATATTTTTAATTTGTAGTTCGATTTTGTTAACCTGTATAATCGTCAAGATTACACTTCAGTCCAGTGACGTATATAGTATTATTAATATTAAAGATTCGTTGCCACTGCAAGATATATATGTTGGAGTGTCGAGTGTTTGACAAGGTCAGGGCTATGTCCAGTGTACATGTATACTGATAGTATGATAAACTAGTACTAACAGACACTACTTCAAGTTAGAAAATGGATTTAATTGCAGAGGAGTTCAGCAATATTGACGTACCATCTTGTTACCTTTATGCATTTCTGCATTCCCACGGCCATTGCTACTTATTCTAGTATTCGAAGCAGAGGGGTTGTGGTCCTAGCAAGCCTACAATGCTCATTGCCATGCTTCGAGTATTGCAATCTCAGCAACTGACAACTGTACATTTGACTCTGCATACAGGTACCTATATACTTATATCACACCCTGCACCACTAGCGAATTTTTCTAATTTTTTTTGTAAAATGCGATTTAAAAAAAATATATTCTGGAAGAAAAATAAAATTTCTCCCTCGAAATTACACATTCACCTGCAGGTTGTGAAAGGACCGGTCTCTAAGTCTACATCACTATACTTATAGCTTGTACATGTACATATACATCCCACCCATACGTCTGTATGATCGCTGCGTGGCTTCAGCGTACAGACCATTCATGCGATGCTTATCATCTGGGGAGGGCGTTCTCGTCTTATGGAATTATTCTTGTCAATCACCTCAATTACATCACAAAGCCAGTCTCCTTCTTCAGCAAATTGCGATTTCATGGACAGAGCATCTCAATTCCATCTCGCGATTCCAAGTCACTCGATTTCATGCTTTCCGCCCTCTAATGACATGAATGGATCTGCTAAACTTAAGCCTTACATTAAGACGAAAATTTAGGACATCAATGCTGTCATTAAGACTGAAATATGGTCTTTTATGCGATATTTTATGGATAAAAAAGTCTTTAATATCGCTTGCTTTCCAAAAGAATGATTAAACAATCTCAACCGGTAAAATATAGGAAGAGTTTTATTAAGGATGAAAATAATGCATTTTAGACAAAAATGTAGAAAATTGATCAATATTGTAACGCAAGAGTAGCTGAAATGATTCATTCGTATTTGTTAAAGTAACATGAAGCGAACCAATCGTTTGATGAAAGCTAATAACGTAAATCTTATTTCCTTGAAAAAGTTCAAATTCTGAGTTGACCATCATCTGGCTACGGCCATCCTTCAGTCAAAATTGATGGGGGCATCAATACAATTTTTGAGATTGGGAATTCATAGTTAGAATACGAGCCTGCTTGTCGTACGAGGAGACTCAAGAGATCAGGTGGCCAGGCTGGTTGTGTGCGATCGTAACTCGACGGTGAGAACGTAGGATGTTGCTCATGATATCAATCACAGATTTGTCTGGTGCCGCCTCGATTATTTACAGGCCGCCTTCATATGGCTGAAATATTGCTGAGTGAGGCGTTAAACAACGAGTGAGTTAGTATGGTTTTATGCCGCTTTAAACAATATTCCAGCATTATCACAGAGGGGGACACTTAGAAATGGGCCTCACACATTGTAGGCATGTCGGGAATCGAACCCGGGTCTTAACGGGAACGAGCGAACGCTTTAAGCACTAGGCTACCCAACCGCCCCCGTTAAACAACGAACAAAACAACAGACAAACAAATAAATCAAAGACGATTTAGTTTATTCACTGTGTTCTGTTTCAATCAATTATTTTAAAATTTAGTATTTGTCTTCCACGTATCAACCATGCTTTTAAACATACAACTACATCTCGTTAACCCGAAGTACATGTAAAACGTTCATTATACGTCGAGTTCGAGAAAAACAGAGTTATGATGTCAGACGTAAGTGTTTATTTTACCAGGCCCGCGACATATCGTTTGAACTAATAATGGAAATTTAACTGTAGATTTTATTAGGTATTTCGAAAATAATATTAACAAGAACACAAGCACTATGTAGAACAATGTAAATGTATATTATTTATGACATCTTTGCTATCAAAAGGGGGCTATTTTGGGAATACAGGTTGCAGGCGTTCGTCACCACTCGCCCCTTTCCGTAACCACTCGCCCCTTTCCGTAACCTGCAAGAAGACTCGCCCCCCTATCGATGAATGTTATGTGCGAAAATATGACAAACCAATCAGAATGCTCGTATGAAGTATGCTCCCTCAGAAATAATTTTTTGATTTTACATATGTCTTGCATCTAAAAATATACCCAAGACACAGTTAAATGTGTTCAATCATACCGTATAATTCCGCATGTCCCAATGTGCTTTACATTGCATCTGAAATATATATAATCTATGGGGAAATAAAAGGTGAACCATTACGCAACGAGTTGACAATTGTTTAGGTATGCCCGTCTGCGCTAAGACGGAACTCGGTCGCAAAAATGGCCATGAGAGGGGCACGAACCGCTATTCGGCTTGTCCCGGAATAACACGAGTTGGTCACGAATGTTGTTGCAGGGTCTCTATGAACAGAATTATCACGCCAGGATGAGAGAATGAGTGAATTTTGTATAACGCACCGGTCAAATATTCCTCCCACGTCATAGCGGCCTTAACGTAGTCTGGTCTGGACAAGGCAACTCAGTGCCTGAAACATTATTGAGCAACACTTCCAGAAATGTGGGTACTATCACATGCAACCACGAAGCCTGATTATTTAATTGCAGTGAAGTTTTAGTTTATAGAGATGCTACTTTCTATCTATGTCTCTTGTTTGCTGTTTGCTGATTGGTGATCAAATGAACACACCATCAACCAATACTATTTGTTTCAGGGTGGGATATCCCATAGTGTTGTTCTGTGGCTGTGTGGTGATATTGGCCTCAGCTCTAAGTGAGTACATATTTGAAAGTTCTCATTTAACAATATAGTTCATATTTCTGAAACAAGAACTGGACATAAATGATATAATATAGGTAAGTATATTTCAGATTGTGAAAATCATCTTTATACTGTATAAACAACGCTATACGAGGGAGTGAGTGAGTGAGGTTGGTTTAACACCTCTTTGGGCAGTATTTAAGTTATCACTTGTGTCAGCTTGAAGTGGGAGGACATCTCGAAGTTATGCAGGTCTTAAACGTTCACCACTTTGGTGAAACCCTATCCAAGAAAACGAACCTGGGATTCGACCCACCGTCTTAGGTCTTAGGTTTCTGTCACGCCTAAGGGACGCAACTCTGCACAGAGATTTTTTAGCGCTCCTGACTACTTGATAACTTGACAATGTAAAAACGTAAATAAGGATATTTAATATACGTTTTCAGTTTTTGCCTGCGCAGAGATGTACATCCCCCTGTTCTTCGCCAGGGCCGTGCAAGGTTTGGGGTCCGCTGGCACAGTCATTGCAGGTACTCAGTGTTGTACGACACGACAGTCAGTGATATTATTGCATTGGAACACTGTAGGCAATTAAAAATGCATGTTGTTTGTTTGTTATTTAACGCTATTCCAGCTATATGACAACGGTCTGTAAGTAATTAATTCTGGACCAGACAGTCCAGAGATTGACAACATGAGCATCGATCCATGCAATTGGGATACGATGACATGCCTGACCACCCGATCCCGTTAGTCGCCTGTTACGACAGGCATGGGTTGCTGAAGACCTATTCTACCCCGGATCTTCACGGGTCTAAATATGCATGTGAAGACTAGTGATACGTATATCAAGGTCATGTTGCTGTTGAGTTGATGTATTTTGCCTTTTACGCCCAATCGAGACTAAATAGTCTCTAGCGGTGACGTTTCATAGTTAACCTTCTCAAATGCAGTCTTTAAGTTAATCTTGATTTCGAAGGTTCAACATTAAACATTCTAAAGAAATGTAATCCTTTCTTTCAAAGGTATTCATAAAAGGTAGTACAGATGTAAATACTTTCTTAAGGGACTGGTATTTTATTGTAGGGGGAGGGGTTTAGAAATAGGGGCTATGGGAAACTGTCAGCAAAAGAGACGTTTTCTTAAAAAATTGAACATTATCAAGGGGACTGGTAATTTATTTTGGGGAAGGTGGATATGTAAATATGTTACATGTAATTTTGGGGGTGGATGGGATGGGGGGTGGGGAGTGATCATAAATACATTTTTTATTTTATAAGATTGGAAGGGGGGGGGGGGGGGGGGGGGGGGTGATTTGATGCAGTTGTTAGACCAAACTCTCAGTGCATAGGAATCGATACGTCGGCTATGTAGTCGTTTCTATAATAAGCGTGTCAGTCTAGTATTTCCATATGAGCTCTCGATCGTGCTCGTCCCAGTCTGGCATAATTAAACAACTGCTAATATTAAGTTGTACCCTCCTTGTGGAAAATTGTATGTATGTGTGTATTATTAACAGGGATGAGCATAGTTGCATCACGATACCCGGATGACAGGGCAAGAAGCGGAGCTATGGGACTCGCGATGGGAGGAGCGGCCTTTGGAGTTCTTGGTAACATCATGTGTTTCGACATCAACATAACTTTATTGCTTAACACGTGTAGGGCGGTGGGATAGTCAAGTGATTAAAGCGTTCAATTTGGCTCGTCACACCGAATGCCCAGGTTCGATTCCCCACATCGTGTAGAATGTATGAAGTCCATTTCTTGTGAGCCCCGCCGTGGCAAAACGGGATTATTGCTAAAAGGGGGTCGAAACCACATTCACTCAATCACTCCCTCAACACGTGTGCTATGTGTTCTAGACGTTTAGGAAGTTCATGTGGTCCAACGTTCCAACACAAATTCACAGAATCGTCTATCATGAGGACACGGAAGCCATGTAAGGCCCCGCGTCACTGTGTGGAGTTACGTCCCTTAGGCGTGCCAGAATCCAGTGATCGTGGGCTCGAATCCCTGATTCGCACTGAGTATCATTCTTTATAGTCAGCACATTACCCGTGCGGTTGGGTTTCTCTAATACGTACATTTACAACACTTCGGTCTTCCTGGACACTTCCTCGTGTTTCCAGGGGCGGTCGGGTAGCCTGGTGGTTAAAGCGTTCGCTCGTCACGTCGAAGACCCGGGCTCGATCTCTGACATGGGTACAATGTGTGAAGCCCATTTGTGGTGTACCCCCGCCGTGACATTGCTGGAATTCTGCTAAAAGCGGCGTAAAACCTCACTCGCTCACTCCTCGTGTTTCCACACAAACCGTAGTGATACTGATATGCTGTAACTTACACACCAACCTCATCATCACCCTACCTGTTATCTTATATACTGTCTGCTACTGCGTCCCTCATGGGTTATTCTCCATGCAGTATTTTATTGTACGATAAACAACGACAAAGATTCGTTAATTTCCTACATGATATATCAACATTTTGTATTGCCTCTTTAAGGATGTTAATAAAATGTACAAGCTTTAAACATATTTACCCGTGTTTAAATAATGATGACTCCCTTGAATACACTTCAACCTCGGCAATGTCGGACAAGTCCATTTTATGAACAGGGGGGTTACGTTTGGTATTTCCCAGATATTCTCACAATTTTCACATTGATTATCTGTACCTTTTCTCCCAATACCGATTTTCTCTCCCACTTTTGGATGCGATCGTTCGGCGGTCATCTGCGTTGCCCATGTTCATCTGTGGTGGACACTTCCCTCTCCAAAATAACGTCGTCCAATTTATGACGTCATCAAGTTGCGACGTCATGATAGAACAACGTTTTATCGTGAAATAAACGACACTTCGTTCTTTGCGATTAATCGCGTAGCTATCTTATATCTAGATAACCACAACTCACACACACATTATATCCTTGTTCTGTAAGCACAGCATGAAACAGACGTCGATGCAAACTGCATGTTCACCAGGAACAGCCACACGGTCGTATTCCAGTCATTATTTAACTTGAATTGTATTTCTTTTGATGAATCAAGTTAATTAGCTAAAATGATTTGGACATGCGTGAATTACCCACCTCATCTAAACGACAATAACGGTAAAATGAATTAAAATGAGCAGAGTTCATGGTCATATCATCTGAAGTTCCAAACTGAGAGCATATCAAGAATTATTATCCCGGGGATTTGTTGAATTATTAAACATACATTGTACTATTTTGAAGTCCGAAAGATGTACATTAATTCGCTATCCTGGAGTATACCACAATATTGTTCGACACTCCTTCTGAGAATGAACTTAATTCAGTCGAACACGTATTACATTGACTATGTTGTATTTGGTGATGCGAGTTAGGGGCCCACCATTCGGTACTCTGTCGGGGACCTGGAATTTCTTTTTAAAAGAAATAATATAGATGGATTTTTTAGTTTATTAGTTAAATATATAAACATAAAAATCGATATTTTACTCGGGTGAAACAACCTGCATAAAATGTTCCCCGGAACTGTTTTCAGTCAGCTTGACCTGCACCACTCAAGAACATATCCATTTTGTCAGGTCAATCGATGAGATAATCATGTTATTGGACAAGAAAAGCCAAATATTGTCTCCGTTCAGTGTATTTGTCTGGCACTGTTTCTTATCTTTACAGTTGGCTACCCATTTGGGGGATTTATGTACACGTTTGTGGGCAAAGTATCACCATTTCTAGTCATCTGTGTCCTCATATGCGTCGACCTCGGTAAGCTGCACATAACCTTTATCATGTCATTGTTGTCTTGATGCTTTCAGAATTACGTCTGTACGACAGCAACAATTGTATCAATGTGTAGAAATATTGTCAAAATACAATCAACGAGTAAAATAATGTATATTTTATTTTTATCAAAGCAAGATGTTTTAGTTAATTCATTTAAAAAAATATTTTGAATGTCCGTAAACAGTCAATTCGTGCGTTGTTTGATATTTTAATGCCTTTTTACAACTTATTTTCAGGATTACAATGGTTTGTCTTTAATCTCTCAGTCACGACTGAGGTAAGTAATATCAATGTTATCGATGGGACCTAATGTGAAATTACTTTAAATCTTAAATCTGATATTTAGTTACTAATTATGTTTATAAAAACGACAGAAACATTTTCATAATGATAAGAAGTCCATTATATCATAAACATGTATTAATGAATCACTATCAAACATTGACGATACCGGGTGTACACGAAAAGGTGGGCGTTTTCAGACCCACTGGTAGCATCCGTCACAAACAAAAAACGACAGCCTCCGTGATTCTAATGGTACAGCGTCCGCCCGGAGAGCGGAAAGTCAGGGGTTCGATCCCCGGCCGCGTCATGCCAAAAGACTTGTTGATACTCAGCCTGGCGCACGACATTAAGGTGCTAAAACAAGGACTGGTCGGTTCGGAGTATACTGAGGGGTGTATTCAGGTTAAACTGTGGCATGGTATCTCAGTGGGCTAGCGCCATAAACTCGGCATCAGTCCGGACTAGTACGAGCAGCCACACACACATGCATGCACGTCGCTATAGAAGGGCAATAATCTTGGAGGCGACGTTAAACCATATTTCACCTCACTACAAATTAATTATGCATGTTGTAACCCTGTTCAAACAAGTCGCGTGAGGTTCTTTGAAATGATCGTAGAAAGAGAATGCTCGATGGTACCTCAAAAGTTGTGAAATGTAGACACCAAAGGCTGCAGCAGCAGGAATATTGCTAGACATAAAGGGAGAGTTGACTATTCGAAAGCTGAAGTCACCACTCTTGTCATATAGTCTTGTGGATACTTATTAAATAACATACTACGTAAAATTTTCCCTTTTTTCAATCACCCAAGTTCAACTAAAAAATCATGTACGTGTACGGCGATTGTGGTGTACTCAGCTTGTACTCTGTTTGTTTTACTGATGTCACCCCGATGTTTGTTTTACTGATGTCATCACGCTTATAACACCATCCTATTCAGAATGCCTGTCGATCAACGCCTCTGCACAAGCTGTTGCGTGATCCCTACATACTGATAGTGTCAGGTGAGGCAGCTACAAAAGTAATATTTGTTTGTCGGTTGTTTCGTCAAACATGAGAAACTTTTGATCAAATGGCAACTATCTAATTCCATACGAAAACGTATCTCTTGATTGGAACATGCAGCTTGTACCGGACAAAGCATGGACCTGCCTGTGGATACTCATGTATATAAGGGCCTACATGTGTTTAAAGTACACATATTGTTTAAAAGTACACATACTGATATAATCAAAACGTTTTAAATACCAAGAATAATAATATGAACGATTTGCAGTTTTGCCAAATATTTTAACTGGTAATGTTGATATTTGTGTAGAAGGCAAATAGTCCACAAACGTATTTCAGTATGATAGTTTCCTGTACTTGGCAAGGTAGGTAATTCTGGAATAGGATATGTTGTTCCTTAGGTGCCACGATGCGATCATAGGTTGGAATCTCAGATCTTTGGTTTGTTGGCACTCTATCTGTGCTCGTATTAAGGATACGACCCTTCAGGGAATGGGGAGTGGAGGTGTTATGGAGTGGAGTAGCGGGTATTACATCTTTTTTCGGATGATACAAAAATATCTTCACATCACAGGTCGGGATAGCCAGCATATCTAGAACCTTTGTTGAAAATCCTGAGATAGAATTAGTTTGCTTTTTCCTGTGAAAGAAAATATTTTTTCTCCCAAAGTCCCAGTCTTCCCACAGAATATCCAATGGTAAGTCCCGAAGAAATAGCGGATACATCTGTCACCTCCCCCTATTAAGCGAACACGTTCTGATATAACCAACTACTTTTACACAATCACATTGGTAATGTATTCCTATCTAGGAATCATCATGATCTCTACGATGGCCATGTCGGTGCTGGAGCCGACGGTGCCGCTCTGGATCCTGGACAAGATGCATGCTGAAAAGTGGCAACTTGGTACAGTATTTACATGCAACACTCGTTGCTTGTTGTCTGTTCAGTGCAATCCCGCCTTGGACTGTAACGTGTATGCTATCCTGGTATGATGATTAAATCAAGAAAAAGATATCCGGTCTCATTATCGCCATGTTATTGTTCACGTTTATAGAAAAATAAATAAAAATCGAATAAAATATGTATAAATATAAATATAATATATATTTGCACAAAGTCAGTGATCTTAAGGACTGCAGTCAAGCACCGCAATGTCGAACTTTGATGTGTCAAACTTTCGGTTGGGTCGAAGTAAAACCTTAGTCCCTGCGTATTTCTTCTTTATTCAGCATTGTCGAACCTCGGATAACTCGAAGTATTTAGGTCGGTCACTTCAACTTCGACACAACGGTGTTTGGCTGTATATTGAATTAGTGTGAACACGAATCAGTATTACATGTTCTGTGCTTCGAATGATATGTCTCATACCAGGGTTTTACTGTGATTAACTTCTCCTACCATAAAGATTCCTCTAAATGTTTTTCCTACCCAGGAAATTGTACGTTTATCCACAGTAAATAGCTAGATCATCGTCGTGAAATAATAAGTCTACTATAATCATTTTCAGGATTAGTGTTTCTCCCAGATAGTGTGGGGTATTTGGTTGGAACCAACTTCTTTGGAATTGCAGCTAGAAGCATAGGGAGGTATGTTCCTATAACCGACGCAGTCGCTTAATACAATAAACTACGGTTATCACGAACTCAAAGGGGCCACTAATTTTAGTTCGTTATAACCGTAGTTCGTTATAAGCATATATACAGGATACACACAGCAAATGCCCGGGACCAAGAAACAGTACGTTACATCCGCCAGTTCGTTATAAGCGTGTTCGTTATAAACGTAGTTTACTGTATTGAAGTCTATTCCCTAATGATGACTACATAATTTGAAATTATTATCTCTTAAATACCCTCATAGGGGTCAGGTCCGAAATGATGAAGAAACTTAAACACTCTTTATGTGGTTTCGTTATAATTCGTTCTCTAATTGGTTCGCAATTTAAGATTTTTTCAAACTGAACACAACCTTATTTTTACACAGTGTCGGTGTTAAGATTTAAGTTTTGATAAAAATGTTTCTAAAGTGGGCGTTGTCAGTTTACCAGACAGTGATATTGACTGCATGTTTCATATTACAGGTGGATCACAACACTATGTTGTATGCTATTGATTGGGCTGTGCCTCGTCTGTGTGAGTATTCATTATCGATATATAATTCATTCCTATTGTCATGGGATACACCTTACAGACCGCTGAGACTGTCAACAGTTAACTGGGTGATGTGTACAACTGAATTATTAACCTACCAGAAATGATTTTTCACTTTAAAGTCAACTTCCGGGCAAAAGAAAGTACACACCCATTTTTAATGGTGGCTAAAAAGAAATAACCCAAGAAATGGTTGTTCGATATAATGTATTTGATACGGGTATCAAACTTGTGTTTTTGACCTTGCTGTGTTCCGCCGATTGCTTCAAGTCTAGTAACGTTTTCATATCTTTTGCAATGATTTCGTCAAATCCATTTTTCACGTGTATTCTTTCTTTTGCCCTTTTAGTCGCATTTTACGACATACATAGGTTGCTGGGGAACAGTTCTATCGCGGTGATATTCATAAGCCACTATCGATTTTATCTAGATATGTTACCATTTAAGTTGATTTAAGTCGTCAAACTCGACACTATAATTCCAACCTCATCAATCATTTCCCTGACTATGTCAAGTCAGAAACACTCCAACAGCATGTGTCATCTCAATGCCTTCCTGATTCTTTTTCAGCTTCCGTTTGCAACAACTGTACCGCAGCTTATCTTACCACATTTTGGCATAGGACTTGGCATTGGTATGTGTTGTACATATGACTTGGCATTGGTGTGTGTTGTACATATGACTTGGCATTGGTATGTGTTGTACATAGGACTTGGCATTGGTATGTGTTGTACATATGACTTGGCATTGGTGTGTGTTGTACATAGGACTTGGCATTGGTATGTGTTGTACATAGGATTTGGCATTGGTATGTGTTGTACATAGGACTTGGCATTGGTATGTGTTGTACATAGGATGTGGCATTGGTATGTGTTGTACATAGGACTTGGCACTGGTATGTGTTGTACATAGGACTTGGCATTGGTATGTGTTGTACATAGGACTTGGCATTGGTATGTGTTGTACATAGGACTTGGCATTGGTATGTGTTGTACATTGGACTTGGCATTGGTATGTGTTGTACATAGGACTTGACATTGGTATGTGTTGTACATAGGATTTGGCATTGGTATGTGTTGTACATAGGACTTGGCATTGGTATGTGTTGTACATTGGACTTGGCATTGGTATGTGTTGTACATGGGACTTGGCATTGGTATGTGTTGTACATAGGACTTGGCACTGGTATGTGTTGTACATAGGACTTGGCATTGGTATATGTTATACATAGGACTTGGCACTGGTATGTGTTGTACATGGGACTTGGCACTGGTATGTGTTGTACATAGGACTTGGCACTGGTATGTGTTGTACATGGGACTTGGCACTGGTATGTGTTGTACATAGGACTTGGCATTGGTATATGTTGTACATAGGACTTGGCATTGGTATGTGTTGTACATGGGACTTGGCATTGGTATGTGTTGTACATAGGACTTGGCATTAGTATGTGTTGTACATAGGACTTGGCACTGGTATGTGTTGTACATAGGACTTGGCATTGGTATATGTTGTACATAGGACTTGGCATTGGTATGTGTTGTACATGGGACTTGGCACTGGTGTGTGTTATACATAGGACTTGGCATTAGTATGTGTTGTACATAGGACTTGGCACTGGTATGTGTTGTACATAGGACTTGGCATTGGTATATGTTGTACATAGGACTTGGCACTGGTATGTGTTGTACATGGGACTTGGCACTGGTGTGTGTTGTACATAAGACTTGGCACTGGTATGTGTTATATATAGGACTTGGCACTGGTATGTGTTACAAATCAAACCAAGTAATAATGTACCATCTGAAACCAGACTTCATGTGGGACCTGCAGTCGTTTTAGGAAATATCAGCTTTAAACACATTTTCCAAAATGTCAAAGACGTCACTGGAGGTTATTTGTTGTCGTTATGTTTCAGGCATCACGGACGCTGCCTTGTTTCCTTTGCTGGCGCTTCTAGTGGACACTCGCCATGACGCTTTCTATGGAAGTGTGTACGCTATTGCCCAACTGGCCGTCTGTCTGGCGTATTCAATAGGTAATGGACCATATCTTATGTATGGATGCAGTTTCACTTGGAAGATTGGGAATTCCAAAATGCATTCCCGTTTTGTGAGTGAGTGAGTGAGTTTAAGTTTAAAGTCACATGTTTTAATGCATATCTGACACTGTGACTGAATACCCAAATTGGCGAGGCGTTAACTTCGGAACGTCTGTTCAGAGCACAACGTTATGAATGATGCTTTGTGAATGATATTTGGCATCATCGAGCTGTTCAAGGAGCATGAAGACGACTGTGTGTCGCAGTTATTATGTTCTGAGTATGTATATTAAATTTATACTCATTGAAATCTCTGCCAAAAGAAGAGTCGATTGTACGAATCTGATTATATAATAAGCACGTGTTTATGGATCACTATCAAATAGTAGTGATGTTCGCGAAAAGGTGAGCCTATCCTACCCTACCTGGGACACACGTCAAAAACAAGTACACAGGCAAGTCAATTGTTCACATGAGAAAGCACGGTACAAGTCAAAGTGGGGAACTGCATAAAGCATCATATTTTCACTGATGCATCAAATTTGGAAATGTCTTCGACATGCCTACCATAAAACCTTTTGAAAGCTTTACTGAGACCTTGAATATTGTAGCCTTGATCAAACAACGTTTCAGCAAGAGTCGTTTGAAATCTTCGAAGAAAGGGAATGCTCGATTGCACCTCAAAACTTGTCAAATGTAGATACCAATGGCTGGGGCTGATCTTATATTGCTCGACATGAAGAGAAAGTTGATTATTGTCATTCAGTTTCGTGGACAATTTGTGTCTGAATCACATGCATAGATCTAAATGAATCGTCTCCATTTCTAGTTCAGGTGGGTTTATCATTAGAAAGGAATTGGTATTTTATGGTTATTGAACTATATACCTGAAGCTGACGTTAAACGTCTTGGCCAAATTACCTTGTTTTGACTTTGCCAATGCTTCGCACACCATCATTGATTACTTGCAGGGCCATCGGTAGCCGGACAGATCGTCAAGGCAATTGGCTTCCCCTGGTAAGGGCAGACAATATTCAACCGAAACTTCATTTGGTTTCTTATTTAACGGCGCACTCAGCGATATACCAGCTATCTATACTCCGAAATGTAATCAAGACTGGTACAACCCAGTGATTGATATTTGAACGTTCAGTAACTCTGCTTCCTTCATGAATTCTCAGCGGCAGGTTGTTGCTGGTAATACTAACCATAAATTAAGAACATTCTAAGACATTAACACCATTAAAGTGCCAGCTGATGATATTGTATATTTGATCACCTACATTTCCAGGTTGATACGAGGAACTGCTATCCTCAATCTGCTGTATTGTCCACTGTGCTTGTTCCTGAGAAAGTTTCCCAGGACGGATGAAGAAATACCAGTGAGTTTTCTTTCTTTGTTGTTTAACGCCGCAATCGGCAGCATTCCAGTTTTATGATGGTAGCCTTTAAACAATCTAGCAACGCCCCCAATATCGCTGTGATCACTGTACATGGGAGGAGGTATCGCTGTGATCACTGTACATAGTAGGAGGTATCGCTGTGATCACTGTACATAGTAGGAGGTATCGCTGTGATCACTGTACATGGGAGGAGGTATTGCTGTGGTCACTGTACATGGTAGGAGGTATCGCTGTGATCACTGTACATGGTAGGAGGTATCGCTGTGATCACTGTACATAGTAGGAGGTATTGCTGTGGTCACTGTACATTGTAGCAGGTATCGCTGTGGTCACTGTACATGGTAGGAGGTATTGCTGTGGTCACTGTACATAGTAGGAGGTATTGCTGTGGTCACTGTACATAGTAGGAGGTATTGCTGTGGTCACTGTACATAGTAGGAGGTATCGCTGTGGTCACTGTACATAGTAGGATGTATCGCTGTGGTCAGTGTACATGGGAGGAGGTATCGCTGTGGTCACTGTACATTGTAGGAGGTATCGCTGTGATCACTGTACATAGTAGGAGGTATAGCTGTGGTCACTGTACATAGTAGGAGGTATCGCTGTGATCACTGTACATAGTAGGAGGTATCGCTGTGGTCACTGTAGATAGTAGGAGGTATCGCTGTGATCACTGTACATTGTAGGAGGTATCGCTGTGGTCACTGTACATAGTAGGAGGTATTGCTGTGGTCACTGTACATTGTAGCAGGTATCGCTGTGGTCACTGTACATAGTAGGAGGTATTGCTGTGGTCACTGTACATAGTAGGAGGTATTGCTGTGGTCACTGTACATAGTAGGAGGTATTGCTGTGGTCACTGTACATAGTAGGAGGTATCGCTGTGGTCACTGTACATAGTAGGATGTATCGCTGTGGTCAGTGTACATGGGAGGAGGTATCGCTGTGATCACTGTACATTGTAGGAGGTATCGCTGTGATCACTGTACATAGTAGGAGGTATAGCTGTGGTCACTGTACATAGTAGGAGGTATCGCTGTGATCACTGTACATAGTAGGAGGTATCGCTGGGGTCACTGTAGATAGTAGGAGGTATCGCTGTGATCACTGTACATAGTAGGAGGTATCGCTGTGGTCACTGTAGATAGTAGGAGGTATCGCTGTGGTCACTGTACATGGTAGGAGGTAACGCTGTGAACACTTTACATAGTAGGAGGTATCGCTGTGGTCACTGTACATAGTAGGAGGTATCGCTGTGATCACTGTACATAGTAGGAGGTATCACTGTGGTCACTGAACATAGTAGGAGGTATCGCTGTGGTCACTGTACATCGGAGGAGGTATCGCTGTGATCGCTGTACATAGTAGGAGGTATCGCTGTGATCACTGTACATGGTAGGAGGTATCGCTGTGATCACTGTACATGGTAGGAGGTATCGCTGTGATCACTGTACATGGTAGGAGGTATCGCTGTGGTCAATGTACATAGTAGGAGGTATCGCTGTGATCACTGTACATACTAGGAGGTATCGCTGTGATCACTGTACTTAGTAGCAGGTATCGCTGTGATCAGTGTACATACTAGGAGGTATAGCTGTGGTCACTGTACATAGTAGGAGGTATAGCTGTGGTCACTGTACATGGGAGGAGGTATCGCTGTGGTCACTGTCCATAGTAGGAGGTATTGCTGTGGTCACTGTACATGGTAGGAGGTATCGCTGTGGTCACTGTACATAGTAGGAGGTATTGCTGTGGTCACTGTACATGGTAGGAGGTATCGCTGTGGTCACTCTCCATAGTGGAAGGTATCGCTGTGGCCACTGTACATAGGAGGTGTAGCTGTGGTCAATGGGCATGACAATAATGATGTTATGTTTACATTGACTTCAGGTCATCATGTCCCACAAGACAAAAACAGAAAACTACACCAAAGACGCGGACACAGAGAACAGCAGCTTTTCTTATGGACGTTTGTGTGAAGACGACTGAACAGATATACAGGATACCTGCACATGCTGACGTCATCTTCCTGTTCAAGACAATCGCGAATCGTCTCTCCAGTACCGACACGTTGAACGTCCCAGGACGTAATTCTATAGGACATGTTTCGTAATATAATTGTGTGTCTACTATACATTGCTTGTTTGTATTTTAATGCCACACTCAGCGGTATTCAGCTATTTGACGGAAGCCTGTAAATAATCAAGCCTGGACCAGACAATCCAGTGATTGATGTTATGAACACCATCCAGTGTTGTCGGGGTATGATGACACATTGCGCCAAGTCACCTAGCCTGACCTCCCGATTCATTAAGTCGCCTCTTACGACCAGCATAGGATGCTGGAAATTTCTTCTAACCCGGCATCCCAACCACCAATCCATAATTCATCATGTCTGATAATTATCTAGAGTGTTTAATGATATATTTAATATTCATTTTAATGAACTTTAATAAAATCCTATTATTGTTTCATGAAACTTTCTGTACGTGTATTTGATATGTATGTATTCACGTATTTAAGGATACATTGTATTATATCATCACCTTATGCTCCATTGCAGTGAGACCGCCTCCGTGGTCTAGTGGTAGAGCATCCGCCCGGAGAGCGGAAGGTCCGGGGTTCGATCCCCGGCCGCGTCATACCAAAAGACGTTAAAAGATGGTACTTGTTGTTACCCTGTCTGGCGCTCGGCATTAAGGGGCTAAAACAAGGACTGGTCGGCTCGGAGTCAGTATACTGTGTCTGAGTGGGGTATTCATGTTAAACTGCGGCATGGTGTCTCAGTGAGCTAGCACTATAAATCGGCATCAGTCCGGACTAGTACAAGCAGCCACACAAACACACACACGTACATGCACGTCGCTATATAAGTGCAATAATCTTGGACGCGACGTTAAACCCCATTTCACCTCACCTCCATTGCAGTGCAGGGGAACGGATTGCCCAGTCTTCTAAGGCCTGGTAATTCGCTGTGAAGACTTGTGACGTGGAATTCGAACCCACAATACACCGTCGTTTATCCAGTGTATTTTATCTCCATTCTACTATGTTACATAGCCTGGGCCCTTTGCTACCATACCTTCGTTTCTTGCAATATCCGTCTTTTATCACAGAGTATTTCTCGCACATGAGCATTCCACATTCAAAATCGGGCTCTCATAGGACCGCCCCCTGGACATACATAATCAGTTGAGAAGACTATTTAAAAATAAATGTCCTTAAATAAAAAGTCCTTAATGCCGCAAACGTCCCCAGCTGTTCTTGAGACAGAGAAGGCGAGTCGAGTAATGGCTTTAATTATGAATGAAATTGGATTTTAATACTGTGCCATTCAAACCAGACTCAAATCGAAGTTATGGTGGCGAGTGAACCCAGAGTACATATCATTATTGAATGGCGATATATTACCCCGGATAGTCGAGGATGCCTTTCCTGTTCGACCCCTCAAACCACTCCCAGGGTCCAGCTTCCTTAGCACTACCACACACTCAATACTTATATATTCACTATATTTGTCTATACACCTTCTTAGCTGTAATGACATGGCTTCGTTTTAGTAAGGAGACGAACAATACTTAATGTTATCTTTATTATATACGTATGACACAGAATCATACACTCACAAAACAGTGATATACAAATATATACTTTTTAATGACGAGAACAGTGCTTTACACTCATGATTTGAAAGGTAATGGGCGGTGAGAGAATGGTTTATCGTCCCTTTCAACAATACTCAAACAATGTCAAACATGAGAAATGTCTTTCACACACTGTACGAATGTGGGGAATCGGACCCGGGCCTCCGTCATGACGACTGTACAGTTGAAGGTTCTATACTGAAATACTGGTGTCCATTACTTCGTTATATATGATCACTGTACATAGTACATTTTCTGAAAGTGGTTAATATGTGATACATTGGTTGTTGTTGTTGTCGCATGAAAATGGAGACATTTGTGATAGCATTCAATTTCCTCCATGTTATGGCAAAGTGGTAACTTCCATCTTACTTGCTTAACATGACAATGTGAGATCTCCATTCAGATTTACTGGGTTAAATAATATCAGCCCAAAGCATTTCCTGAACATGTTTGTTTTCTTACATGAACTAATTGTCTGTAAAAAGGCATGCAAACAGAATCTGCTTCACCAGTTTTCATTTCATGTGGATGCAGATCCGTTTTTCCCTGCTCCAGTGGATACTTTTGATCTTGGGTAAGTGTGACGTTTGACTTATGATTAGCACAAGAGTGATAAGTTTTGTTGGTAGTTGGGTTATCCAAGGGCTGGATGAAGGACGTGTCAACAGTAACGGGGTGACTAATATGTTGCCAGGGGGGATGTCAATAGTCTCACTTATTGCATTCATGACGTGCATGATAGCTTTCAGACCCAAAGGATGGATAAGACATTTGGCACGTAAACGGTTCTTTGAAAGTGGGTTCTTTCATTGGTTCCTCGTGGAATATTTCTGGTGATGACGCAATAAATAGGCAAATAGTGTCTGTGTTTGCTTCGAGAAATATGTTCCTAATATTAGGAAGCAGTAGGCATTAAAGAAAGTTGTGCTCAGTTATTAGATAGCCTATGTTGATAGGCAATGTTATAGCACCTAGCACAGGATGTGTATCACCACCAACACCTACAACATTTTTGGTTTCAACTTGTTTATAAGGTTTCCTGCTTTTGGGAGAATGTTTAGAGTACATTAGGTTTTGTATGTTTTTTTACTGATATCAACTTAAATAATAGTTTTATCAAGGGGCACTACTAGAAACATATTTGGATGCTGAACATTTTTGTTTGGAATATTTAGGGTGCCTTAACTGAATACTGTTTTAGGAGCTCTCACAGTAAGTGAACTTGAACTGAATTTGTGTCCGATCTCTTGTAGAGAATCAGATGCCTTATCCTATTCATTTCGAAGAGCAGCATTCTAATTCTTCATGGTTGAGCCTGTTACAGCACCTACACCTGTGTCCCTAGTGTGGACATTGTGGTCTAGATGGACACCAACCTGAACATTCCTTGCAAATCCGGTGTTGTTTAGGTTGTTGTTTCCACTGTGATCTTGACTGTGACTGGCGTTGTGATGAGGGATGATTGTACTTTAGGTCGGATGGCTTCGTGCATTGTGCTATGACAAATTGTGTTGGGTTGGCTAAATTTCTTTCCATTGAGAGGTTCAGGGGGGTCCACCAACTGAGATAGAGTTTGTCTCAAGATAACTAGTAAAGAAGAATTACGAATAATGTAGATACAGCTGACGAAGAGCAACTTGCCAGTTCCAAAGTTTATTACAGGAACAGAGTGATTCGGATAGCTCTGCCCTGTTCTTGTATTTCCAAAATGTTGATGAGATAGAGACGATCATCCTGCTCTGATTTGATCGAAATGTATCTTCACCGTTTTATTGAGATATAATTTCTTTTCATGTGTTGTTCCTGGAATTAGCAGTGATTACATATTAATGTAATATATGTTTATTGGAAGGAGATTTGCATTAATTCAAACAAAGATATAAGGGGATATAGCCATCGGGGGTTCTAATGAAGGCAATCATTTGGTTTAGGGATTAAATCTGTGAAACGTGGTGACAGGCTTGGCCTTTGTGTTGAGTTGCCCTGACGTATTGTTATTTCAACAGTGACACTGATTGTTGACAAAGCAAAGCTGTGTAACATTTTCAATAATGGAAAACAGCCATTAGGCCACATATGTTAAGCATAATTACATGTGATATTTTATCACATATCAAATAATTTTCAAGGAGCAAATGGCATACTTTAACACATGTAACTAGTACTATCCTGAACTGCAAAAGAAACGTCACCATGGGTAGATATATGAGAAACCTTATTTGTCCAAACACTTTAAACATACTTTGAGACATATTAAAAAGATCAAACTTGGCAAAACTGATCATCAAGGTTGAAATTAAAGTGTCAAATTTTCTTAAAGTGACACACAACACTAGTCGCCGAGAAAATGGCTTCACAAGTCAGTATCTCGTGTGTCCGCCATGTGCATTGATGACTGCCGTGGCATTTGATGAAGGCCATAGGCACTTGAGCCACATTCTAAGGAACGCCTGATGCAGTTCAGCTGCAGTTGTCGGCCTTGGTCGGACGTCATTCAGCCATCTTTGAATCTCGTTCCACAGGTGCTCAATGGGATTTAAATCGGGACTGAGTACAGGCCACTGCATGGTTCTGATGCCATTTTGCTGGAGGAAGTCTCTTGTGGCTCTCGCAGTGTGGGCACGGGCGTTATCATGCTGAAACTCGTGGTTGGGGCGACGTGCCAAATGAGGTAAGGCGTGTGGTCTCAAGACTTGATCAATGTACCGAGCTGCTGTGAAACCACTGCCTCTCCCTGGACCAATGTTCTGGAAGACCACAGGGCCGCCCCTCTGTGCAAGACCAATTCCACCAAACACCATGATGCTCGGACCACCCCACAAGTCTCTCTCAACAACACAAGTATCTGAATAACGTTCCCCACGGCGTCGCCAGACTCTCTCTGCTATCTGCCGTTGAGATACAGTAACGGCTCTCGTCTCAGAAGAGGACTCTTCTCCACTGATGGTGGCGCCAATGCTGGTGCTGTGTTGCCCACTGAAGACGGTCCCGGCCATGACGTGGTGTCAGAATGGGGCCTCGTTGTGGCTTGTGACAGTGGAGGTGTCAGCTCGTCAATCATCGACGCACAGTGTCCACAGGAATGTGTCGCTGGTGTGTCCCCAAGGTCTGTCGAGCAGTTTCCGCAGCAGTAACAAAGCGATCTTGAAAATGCCGTCACACAATCTGACGATACTGACGTCGGTTGGTGACCCTTCGTCTTCCACTACGTGGTCGGTCATCTGTAGTATTGGTGGTCTGGTACCGTTGCTGGTGCCCGTATATGTTCCTTACGTGGACTTGAAATGCATTGGCGATTTGCCGGGCGATTTGTCCAGCTTGCAAAAGTCCAAGGGTTTGGTGTCACTGATTTCTTGTCAATCTTGGCATGTGGTAGCAATTCTATTAACGAATGAATGTTATCCGATCTGGGTGGATTTTTATAGGGCTAGAAATGGGGGAACGCATGTTCTTTTCAATTTGAACGGAACTCACGTGCATCGGGTTACCATGGCTGTTGCCGTGATCCGTTTGAGCAAGCGGTTTTATTGTCATCTGCTTTGTTTTTTTATCATCAAATTTCATTTTTCCGGACAAGGTAATGTTAAAATCTAGAAACTTTGACAAGAATTACCCAGATATTAAATGACAACTTTTCATGCATTGTTACTTTGGGTGACGTTTCTTTTGCGGTTCAGTATATATATAAACCCCACACCTTTCATTAACGATAGAGGTAAGAGTTACTTGAAGGAATCTTTGCAGCTTAGTCAATACGTCTCTTTCAGATCCCAAGTTTCTGTAGTGAAGAGAAGACAGCTGGGAGTCCATCTACTGGTCGAGGAACAGGCATTTCTTCAATAACTGGATACTCATTCAAGAGATTCCATCGACAGTTTATAGCAAGTTCAACAACGAAAATTTTAAGCATAAGCTTCCCAAGTTCTTTCCCAACACACACTCTTCTCCCAGCACCAAAAGGAAAGAAGTGTTCCCTTTCCATTGTCATATCATCCCACCTGTCAGGGTCGAATTTGTCTCCATCTGGGAAAATGTCGCTTTGTTCTTGAGCTTCACGGATACTGAAGGCAACAGTCCATCCCTTGGGTACTTGGTAACCCTGAATCCAAGGGAGGGAAATGAAATGGTAATTCCAGAGTTGTGAACGTCATTATATGTAACTATGATGTGCTTTGTCACACACTGCTTCGTTAAAGTAGTGTTTTGAATTGAAGGAAAGGCGTTATGCAGCAACCTGTATTCAATGTAAACATTTTACAACATTATCCTGAAGATTAGCATGATTTTGAAATTCAAATTATACAAATTATGTGAAAAAAAATCATTTTCCTCTTAATCTTTAATTAAATATTATCATATGCTTTAACGCATTGTATATGTATTACTTACATCTAGCTCAAAGGTTTTGAGTGCCTTTCTGAAACCTCCGCCAACAGGTGGTGCAATTCGAACAACTTCCTTCACAACATTAGATACATATTTCAGCTGGCCAAGTTGTTCAAGGGTGAGCCCTCCTACATCATCATACATGTTGTGTTGTCGCAGTTCCTCAACTACCTTATCAAGCACCTTAAACGTCGACAGAAGAACATAATGAAACCACAGTGCAAACACGTATCGTTTATTATCACAATGCAACGACGCTTAGGAGGTGCATTTCTCCCAGTGATCTGCAGAATTACGTCCATTTTTCAGCTTTCAGCATCTGCTCGTCACAAGTTGAAAGAAACGCTACACAATAATAAACACTAATTATAGTTTTCCTTCTTTGATGATAGGCACACACTCATTTCACATTGTATTGACCTCGAAGCTATGTTTTGTTTTACGCCAAAGTCCTCGATATTCCGCGCTATATCACGGTGGTCTGTACATGACTGAGTCAAGAAATCTAACCATTTAGCAGCCTCGTTCGACATGCAATTGTGCTTAGGACCTTTTCTGACCCCAAATCCCAAAGGGCAAACGTAATTTATCAGAAGGCAAGTCATAATTAACTGCATGCAATCGAGCTTGAGAAAAAGACAGTGGTCTGTACTTGAAGCAGTAATCACCTCTCTATTTCTCCCCAAGTAAAGGAGGAGGGAGCAGGCTGCGCTGCCAGCGGTGACATGTCCGGTTAGAAGCAGCTCCATGGCCACCTCCTTCAGCTCCTTCCGGCTCAGCTCCTCTTCCGACTGTTTCATCATGTAGGTGAGGGCGTCGGGGGCACCGCTCCATTCCTTCCGCCGATCCAGAAATTCTCCGATCTTCTCCATCAGTTTTTCGCGAGCTACCATACCCTAAAGACAATTTTTAATGCCTACCACATACACTATTTACCAATATTTACTTATGGTTTAAAACAATTACACTAATAAATCCAAAAAAATGCTGACGCTGTGCAAATAGATAAAGGTAAACAATTATCAACGGCACTAAAATGGAGAGAACAACTATGGTGTCACATGTATGAGTTCACCATCATATGTATGAAGTTGGTCTATTTTGATTGTGAGATATTACGTCTGTTACTTCTGTTATTGATATAACAAAGTGAACATAGGATACACTTTCATTAATCTAAATACAAGAGCCATCATTGCATATCATCCAGGAATTACATTGCCATCATTGCATAACATCCAGGAATTACATTGCCACCATTGCATATCATCCAGGAAAAACATTGCCACGACTGCATATCATCCAGGAATTACATTGCCATCATTGCACATCATCCAGGAATTACATTACCATCATTGCATGTCATCTAGGAATTACATTGCCACAACTGCATATCATCTAGAAATTGCATTGCCACCATTGCACATCATCCAGGAATTACATTACCATCATTGCATGTCATCTAGGTATTACATTGCCACAACTGCATATCATCTAGGAATTACATTGCCACCATTGCATATCATCTAGAAATTACATTGCCATCATTGCACATCATCCAGGAATTACATTGCCATCATTGCATGTCATCTAGGAATTACATTGCCACAACTGCATATCATCTAGGAATTACATTGCCACCATTGCATATCATCTAGGAATTACATTGCCATCATTGCATGTCATCTAGGTATGACATTGCCACAACTGCATATCATCTAGGAATTACATTGCCACCATTGCATATCATCTAGAAATTACATTGCCATCATTGCACATCATCCAGGAATTACATTGCCATCATTGCATGTCATCTAGGTATTTCATTGCTACAACTGCATATCATCTAGGAATTACATTGCCACCATTGCATATCATCTAGAAATTACATTGCCATCATTGCATATCATCTAGGAATTACATTGCCATCATTGCATATCATCTAGGAATTACATTGCCACCATTGCATATCATCTAGGAATTACATTGCCACCATTGCATATCATCTAGGAATTACATTGCCACCATTGCATATCATCTAGGAATTACAAAGTGAGTTGAGATGATTTAATTAACACGTAATGACAATTAAGAACTATGGATTTTACCTTGTGGAATCCCGATCCAGGAATTTTCAGAGGTATGGAAAAAAGACCGTCTGAAAACACGGCATACAACTCGATCAGTTGTCCTAGTTCCTTCTCGCTGATCTGAAAGCCTATCAGTACATGACAGGCAAACCTTAAGGACAGTTTCTTGCATTCCTCGAAGCCCAAAACGGTTCCTTGTCTGCACCATCTGTTAATGTAAAAGCGGAAGATGTCCTGAGATTCTAGAAGGTAGGAGGACAAGGCGGCGTGGTTGAAAGCCTTGACGATAGACTTCCTTCGTGTTTTATGGGTAGGGCCCTCGGAGTGGCTTACTGTTCCTTCGCCCATGAGCGTTCGAACACTTTGTGGCCAGTAAGAAGCCACGAGCGAGGTCTCTCCCATTAATATCTTGCGGACATTCTTCGCTCCAAGGACGAGAATGGTTGGATTTCCAAGGATGTTGGTTTTTGAGACTCCACCGTAAGATTTCAACCTCTTCCTGTAGAAATTAGCACCCTAAAACAAGGAAAAAACATAAATGTCTGAATATATTGTATTAACTATTGTGTATTATCTGGTTTACGTTACAAAAGCCTACTTTTTGGAAAGCATTAATGTTTCATTACAATTTTTTCCACCTAAATACGTAAATAAGTACAATATCTATAATGTAGGAAGGAGAGTTACCATTGCCACAAAATGAAGGCTTTCTCCAAGCAGAGGCAGCCCCATACTGCCAGGTGGTAGAGGTAGGCTGCATGTCATGTCTCTAAGACTATGATTATGCATGTTCCACAGCTTCCAGATGATGAGACAGAGAGCGGTTGGTACCACAGACGCCACAACCACCCAGGAGGCACCCCCGTCCGTTCTGAAAAGAGATAACGTATATCTATATACGGTGTGTTCTTCAAACAAACGGTAACATATAATTTCGAGATTGATTGATTTATCAATGGTTTCAAACTTACCCAGGAAACGAGTATAACATTGTTACAGAATTGCTTGGCTCTCCTACATCGACCGGTAAACGTATTCTGCTGTAGATGTTATTTTGTTAGCCCCACCATGCTTGTCATGTCTTTAAGTACTCGTCAAATGGTCACATGGTCAAAATTTGAAATGCGTCAGTATACCTAACCGTCCTCTGATTCGTTCATCTGCTGCACAATCTAAAAATATATCAATGAGAAACGTATCGCAGAGCTGACAGATGTGCCGCACTACAATTTCAATTTTCGTGTGAAAATAAGCTATGAATATAGGTTTCATTTGTAAAGGCCAGTATTATGCCACTCCGTTTGAAATGTATAAATAATATATACAATAAACAAAATAACATAACAATCCAATATATATTAAATACAATAAAGATCCAATCATTATTGAAAGATAATCAAAAATATGTTTATGAGCAGTGTACAGTTTTTCTCCACGGGAAGAACTGACAATTTCCTCTAACTACAGAAGCTGAGAGACATACCCTGCCAGGGCCAATATTTCAATTCTCACGACAGAGCATATATATATATATATATATCTATATATATTGAATTGAAATATATATATATGCTCTGTAGTGAGAATTGAAATATCCGAGCAACCAGTCCTCGTTTTATACCCTCAATGCAGAGCAATAAACAAGCACCATCTTTTAACATATTTTGGTGTCATGCTATCGGGGATCGAACATCCGACACACAATCCACTAGACCACGGAGGCGGTCCATATTTAAATGAATATGGTTTAATGACGAGCTGTGTTATTGTGAGGTCGTTACTCAGAATGCCACTCCTGTCGTGTGGAGATGTTGACATATGCTGTCAACACTGAGTGTCACAGTGCAAGACACATGTGTTGACAACAGCTTCAGGAGCTATGAATGCATTTAAAAACACACAGTTTTCAATATCAGATGAATTTATTCCTAATGCAAATGTCTATCCATTACACTTTCGCAAGAAGCACTTTTTGTTGCACACTGACAATAGAAGTAGTCCTTGAAGGCATGGGATTTAGGGACGTGAATGTTCCTCGTTCCGATGTTTGAAAAATATTTCGAGTCAGCAATCTACACAATCGGTAGTTATTTTGACATTTAGGACAGGAAGTTATACATGCAATGTCACAGAAAATAGCTTATTTCAAAGTCTTTTGAACTGTTCTTTAGTTAACAATATCCAAAGCCCCGAGGAGTAAGAAAGTAGAGTTTAACTCCGTTTCAAAATTTAAAGGTGTGGTGAGTTAAAATAGGCTTTAACGTCGCGTCCAAGATTATTGCACTCATATAGCGACGTGCATGCACGTGTGTGTGTGTGTGTGTGTGTGTGTGTGTGTGTGTGTGTGTGTGTGTGTGTGTGTGTGTGTGTGTGTGTGTGTGTGTGTGTGTGTGTGTGTGTGTGTGTGTGTGTGTGTGCTAGTCCGGACTGATGCCGATTTATAGTGCTAGCCCACTGAGATATCATGCCGCAGTTTAACATGAACACCCCACTCAGACACAGTATACTGACTCCGAGCCGACCAGTCCTTGTTTTAGCCCCTTAATGCCGAGCGCCAGACAGGCTAACAACAAGTAACATCTTTTAACGTCTTTTGGTATTTGGTTTTGGTCTGTACACACGTGCGCGCCCATCAACACGTGTGAGTAGGTAACGGGACTCGTCAGTAAACAGTACATTTCTCAACCTTGCACGTGCCCATCTTACCCTCTGTTGGCACCAAAGCAGACGGTCCGCCAGATGACGTGGGGTCAATACATGACGTCGAACAGGTCTTCGTGCAAAAAGTCCAGCCTCCCTCAGTCTGTTGCGTACGGTTTGATCTGATATTCTGAGTACCCCAGGGATCTGTGTGGTTGTAGACGTGGCTGTGGTAGTGCGGTCTCGGAGGTGTTGCAGCCGGATGTATCGATCTTGTGCTTGGGTTGCTCCAGCTTGTCATCTCCCAATGGCGTTGTTCCGTTGAGCTGCATTCAGTCTTGGCATTCTGTCACCGCCTCTACTGCCGTTATAAGGACTGTATGAACAGCCGTTGATGTGGATTTTTATACCCATTCAGCAGGGGGGCCTGCATGCCTAAATGCAGGACCCCGTGCTGCACGGTTTTACAGGCGGTTGCGTTTGGATGAAGCTGTAAAATTGATCCCCAAACGCTACGTTTACGTGCTTTGCATGTGTTTTCGCGAATTATAGACACATCATCTTTCTGTTTGACTTATTTGGTTCTCATTTAATGTAATTATTTTAGATATTTGGCAAAAAGTGGTTTTACATCTATGTCAAGTTTCTTTCTTTGAAGAGTATATTATTTAACCAGTGTCTACATGATTCAGCTCTGTTGTATGCCAGCATTAATGTAGGTCACAGCTGCTATTTCATATCAGACGTTGTCAAACATGACACTCATCATTTGACGGCGCTGGTGCAATGTAAAAATAGTGCTTAGAGTTGGTAAATTCACGAAGCATTCGTTTCTTTTATGTTTTATTTGCCAATGACATATATGATTTAAAATGAACAAAAACAGCTTGGAAACATCTGTGACCACATAGTTAAAGCGTTAGCTTATCACGCCGAAGACCCGGGTTCGATTCCCGACATGGGTACAATGTGTGAAATTGCTGGAATATTTATAAAAGCGGCGTAAAACCACACTCACTCACTCACTCACACACTGTGACCACAGAGACCAAACAAACAGATGAAAATAGGTGTCTGCAAACGACTTGGCTTTAACGCCGCTTTAAAGAGCACCCCTCGGCGGCGTAAAACCATACTCACTCACTCCTGCATGGGATAGATGGAACCCATTCTACCCCGAAATAACAAGGGTTCAAATAAATTAAGATTTGTTATGTTTAGAACCAGCTATATGGCGGCGTGTTGTCAGTTATCGAGCCAGGGCCATACAAACCAGTGACTGGTAGTATGAGCAACGTTCCACGCACGATGCACGGTTTCAACCAAGTGACTGACCTGGCCACCCGTTTTCGTGAATCGCCTCTTGAAAGAAGCATGGTTGCTCAGTTTTTGTTTGTTTGTTGTTTAACGCCGCACTCAGCAATATTCCAGCTATATGACGGCGGTCTGTAAATGATCGAGTCTGGACGACAATGCAGTGATTGACATCATGAGCATCGATCCACGCAATTGGGATACGATGACATGCATCAACCAAGTCAGCAAGCCTGACCACCCGATCCCGTTAGTCGCCTCTTACAACAAGCATAGTCACCTTTTATGGCAAGTATGGGTTGCTGAAGACGTATTCTAACCCGAATCTTCACGGGTCCGGTTGCCCAGGATCTACAATTCTAACCCCAACTCGACATGGGAATTGAAAGAATAAGGTTCAGGTAAAGAAAATATCATAACAATGTTTAATTAAGCAATGTTTATTAATACAATACATATATTATTATGTATTTATGTATTGTTTGTAACGCATACATTGTACAATTACGTAGTATAAGCAGAACACAACAGCGTGTAGCTTTAAGTCTTAAATAGACGCGTGATGTCAATACATTGCCGAAATATATCTTAGGGTTAACATGAATATTAGTACTCAGACCAGTCCAGTCAATACAGACTTAATTCTATCACTTTGAATACTCCTGCTGTGCATGCCCATATGAGGTAAGTCCTGATGGAAACAGTTCCAATTTTAAAGGTGTTTCTAATTGGTGCAAGCTGGATTGGTGGGGTGAGGTGAGGTGAGGTGAGGTGAGGTGAGGTGAGGTGAGGTGAGGTGAGGTGAGGTGAGGTGAGGTGAGTTAAAATGGGGTTTCGAGTCGCGTCTAAGATTATTGCACTTACATACCGACGTGCGTGTTTTTGTGGCTGTTTGTACTAGTTTGACTTTTGCCGATTTATAGTGCCAGCACACCGAGATACCTTGCCGCAGTTTAAATATGAATACCCCACTCAGACGCTGCATACTGACTCCGAGCCGGCCACTCTTTTATTACCTTAATGCCGAGCGCCAGACAGGGTAACAACAGGTTCCATCGTTTAACGTCTTTTGGTATGACCAGGGATTGAACCCCGGACCTTCCGCTCTCCGGGCGGACGCTCTACCACTAGACCACAAGTTGGATTGTCTTATACATTAGTCATATTATATATGCACGACGAACTGTTGAAGATTTGAGTTAATGAGTGAGTGAGTTCAAATGTAAAGTCACATCGGCAGTATTTCGTGACTATGAAACGTTATACATTAAAGATAAATACCTTTAGACTACATACAAACCTGTCAAAAAAGGACAGTAAAATAGCTAGACTATCACAAAATAACATTTAAACTATTATGTAACTATAGTGAGTGAGTGAGTTATGCATATATATTACATACTGTTGGAAACGTATAAGGGCACAATGAAACATATTGGCCAATAAGATTTACTGTCAGTACATTTGAAATAGCGCGCATACAAATTCAACACATGTCAGAATCAATGCTCAGATGTGTTTGTGTGCATTGTTGCCAATGCGTGTTTGTTAGACAAGGTTGAGAACCCATGCTAGCATACCATTTTACCGTGCTGATACTAAATGTTTCCTTTTTCGTTTCCATCAATATATACTCACAGCCAAAAGAAACACGAATACCATACATGTTGGTTAATAGGTAAAGACTTACTCATATTCCAGAGATATTAGATTGGTTCAATGCACAAACGAACATACTGGTATGTTGTGTGAACCGATATTCATGAACGCATCACATGTGACGTCATAGATCCATGACTCGAGATACACCATTTGTCTCGTGCAGGATTAGCGTGTAAAATGTGGAGACCACGTGCAGCATATTCATATCACGTGATAAGAATAAAGTCACTCTATGGTAACACTTGACTGATTGTTAGTTTGGTCATTAAGCGGTACACATTGGAAACATCTCTTCATAACGTACATACTTCTCTTCATGTTTCAATGGTTCGCGTTTCTTTTGACGGTGAATATATATATATACTCAACAACAAAAGTTCCTGTGACACCAATATTTTAGTGCATTTTTAACAATTAAAAATATTTAACAAGTAAAGTTTG